TCATCACGATATCCTAAACCAGCTATAATTCTTATGGCTCGCCTTTGTAAACTAAAAATTCTTGTCCTAATGGTCGAGTGGCCCCATGAAAGGATACCATACCTTAATATTGATTCTATTAAAGAAAAATAGGCAATTCTAAGATATCTTAGCGATATTTTATTTGATAAACTACGCAGCAAATATATATTGGAGTTGAGTTTAGCAGCAATCGCCTCTCCTTGACTAAACCAAAGAAGACGCGAGTCCAAATAAACTCCCAGAAACTTTGTACTGGAGGCTTCAGAGTTAAAGTCTCTCAACGAAAAAATAACATTTACCGTCTTTTCCTTATTTAAACTTAATCGGTTCGAGTTAAACCAGTTTAAAGCCTCCGACTGCGTGCTTAGACTCTTTGACATTGCTAGTTCAAGGGATTTGTCATGAACTGCAAATAATGTGTCATCAGCAAATAAAGTTATGTTATCTGCATTTAATAGGTTATTAGGCAGATCATTTATAAATATAAGGAAGAGTAAGGGTCCCAAAATTGAACCCTGCGGAACACCGTGATGCAGGGGCAAATTAGAAGAAAACTTATTTTTAAGAAGAACACATTGAGTTCTGTTTATCAAATAAGAATTGATAAGTTTTACACTTAAGGGGGAAAAATTAAAGAAGTAAAGTTTTCGGACTAACAAATCATGGGACACGCAATCAAAGGCCTTGCTAAGGTCCAAAAACGTACCAACCATAAACTCTCCAAGTTCAAAACAAGTATTTACTTTATCGACAAAGGATATTATTGCATCCGACGTAGATAGTCCTTTGCGAAAGCCAAACTGTTTTTCAGTTAGAAGATTATTCTCTACAAAATAGTTTGAAATCTGCTTGAAAATGAGTTTTTCGTAAATTTTTGAAATAATAGGTAATAAGGATATTGGACGATAATTGCCCAATTCGTCTTTATTGCCTTTCTTAAAGACCGGTATTAGTATAGCTTTTTTTAAAGATATTGGAAATATACCCGAATTGATAGAATAATTAATTAACTTTGTTAATGGATAAAGAATTATTTCCCGTACTGAACGAATAATCTCAATATTCAAATTATATATATCATTACTTTTACTTGATTTAAGTTCTTTAAAGATGTCACGAACCCCGTTGTAGGTGACTTCTTTAATAGTAAAATAATAGTTTAAATTTTTGTTTAAATTTAAAATAAAATTAATTGGATCAATTTTTGAAGGGGGTAAGGAATCCAGTGTTATTTGGGGTATACTACAGAAAAAATTATTAAATTCGTCGGGCTCTATATTTGATGTATTGTCTGTAGGACTATTTGTGTTATTATTGTTAACTAACTTCCACATGGCTTTTGAGATATTTTTGGAGTTTAAAATATAGTTATCACTGGCTGATATTTTAGTTTGCTTTATTTTTTTGTTATATTTCAATTTAAATTGTTTGAGTAGGAGACGAGTTTGTTCAGTAGGGTACATTTTGTAAGAGTCATTTATAAAGCATAAAGTTTCACGCATTTTTTTTAATTCCGGGGTAAACCAGGAGATTTTGTTTATTTTAGATTTTTTACCTTTTACAATTTTATTAGGAAATGCCAGATTTGCTTTGGATTCCAAAATTGATAGAAATAAAGTAAACTTATTATCCAAACCATCATTAGAATCTATGAACGACCAGTCAATGAAACTAATTAACTCAAAAAATTCAATCTTACCTTTAAGCGTAATGGGCCTAATAGATTTTTTAATAATACTATTTTCAGAGTTAACATTTAAATTAAAATCAAATAGTATTCCGGAGTGATCAGAAATACTCGTATCAATAATCTTGACATTGTTAAAATTCAATATATTTGTAAAAATTTGAATACACTATAAGTAATTATTGTTACTTATATGCATAAATTAATTTAAATAATTTAATTCAGTTACCAATTTAATTTGTAAATTAAATCAGACTTTAAAATTTTTTTAAAAGTCATGATTAATTTAAATTTTTACTTTTGCTACAATTGCATCGGAAAACGTATAAAAAATGCCTTTGGTTCATAAAATTTTGATGAAGTTCCTTCAATTTTCGTAAAATTTCAGTAAATTATTTAAAAATAATAAATATATATAAATATAAAACAATGAAAGTGGCACAATCTCATTAGCTTACCAAAAAGTGCTATATCTCTTTTAGTTTTAGTAATTTTAAAAATATTTTAAAAGGAAATCTCAAGAAATTTGTGGTAAACATAGGTATTTACTATTTATATTATTGGTGCAGGGGCCCACAGAGGGGTAGGAGGTAAGAGAGGCAATTTGCCATGGTCCCCGAGTGGGCTTATTTCAATATTAATATATTACACTTAAAGTGATTGAAATTTATTGAATGTTTCAATAAATTTCAAGTACAAGCAAAAAGTGAAATTTTCCCAACCCTAGACCCAGGGGACAATTTTTTTTATTTTTTCCTATTTAAGGGCTTATTTAAAAAAATCTGCCCACTTTTAGATGTTAAATAACACACCTAAATAAACAAAATTTGAAAAAAAAAACAGGCTTTTAGATTAAGTTTTTGTTTTTACTTTTTCTTCTTTAAATGTACAAGAATTTTGAAAATTACCCATTTACCTTTGCAGCAATTATCAACTTTTTGGCTTCATCCATGGATCCCTGGTGATTTTGGCCGATTTCAGCAATAATAAACGTTTTGTCTTTAGGTCCTATTTTAACATCATTGAAAATTTTAATAGTTGCAGCCTCCATATTAAAACACACTCAAGCACTATCATTTCACGACTGGTTGATCTCATAAAGAATTTATTACTTGACCCCTCAGTTAAAGCAATAAATGTAGTCTGGAGGCAATACATAGGTAAATTAAAAAGTCATTAAAATAAATTCTACCTTAAGTTATAAATACTTTTGGGTATTTTCGGGCAGAGCCTTTTCGAGAAAATGCAATTTTTTTAGAAATCGACCACTTTTGACTCCGGCCCCCTTTGATTTGGCTTTTTCAAAAACGGCTCTTTATTTTTTAAATATCTACAACTTTTTTCAAAAATTTTGTTTTTATATTGGTGATTCTACAAAAGTTGGACTACTTGATGTCATCAGTCAATAGAGGTAGGTATTTTAATATTTTTTGTAAATATTTTAGTATATTACAAAAGATCCAGATTTTTTTAACTTGTCCACCCAATTTTAATGTATTTTTTCAAAAGCACGTTTGTAGAATAATAAATATTCAAAACATCAGTACCTTGGCGTGTCACAACTTCTGAATCAAATATTTGAGTGGTTTTATTTTAAAATATATTCAATTTATCTTAAATTTTTCAATTTCACTAAAAACTATAAAACATAAAATAATGCATTTTTCATATTTTATCATAGATTCGAATAATAGCAATTTTTAAAAAATTGATAATTTTTGTACTCACTTTTACCCGTCAGTTCTGTGTCCAATGTTAAAATTCAAAATTCTTGCGAAATATTGAAGTTTAAACGTCAAGTCCTCGTTTTAACTCAAGTGTTGGTAAAAAATTACCTACAGAACCCGCCTTTTGCACGACATCTTGAAAACAATGCAAGCGGCAAAGTTGTGGTGAATGCACGTATAGTTCCAGTCAAAATTTCAGTACTGTGGTGAGTAGTTATTTTCACCCATAATATAACAAGTGGTATGAATATCATCGATGATATTTTCGAATTGAAACCGAGCTGCAGATTTTACGAGTCCGCAGGACGAGTGAAATGTGCTGCTTCGGTTTCAATGAGTAAATATCATCGATAAATAATCATACCACGAGTTATATTTAGTGAGAAAATAAAATGAATTTTAGGATTTAACGAATTGTCAGTTTGACATTTGAAATTAAAATGTGCTTTAAAATATAAAAAGACTTTAATAAACCTTATTTATTCAAACTTACCTTAATTTTATTATCGTTTACACCAACCCATCGATCTTTTAGAGTTTATAATTCATTATTTTAATCATTTAACAAACACAGTATTTAAATGTCAACAAATGTCAAATCAAGAAAAGTGTCAAAATCCTTAACAACGTGTAAACAAGGTGATAAAAATATTGTCGCTGTGCTAAAATGCGTAACTATGGAATACTGGCATTTTATTGGTTCTAATTATAATGAATTGTATTGTCTTACGTATTTATTTCATTGTAATTTATATAAGGCTATATGTGATTTGTTAATAAGTAGCATCCACTAATAAAAAATATCAGTAAAATACTTAATTCCGAATTATAATCTAATAAACTTCAATTTAAATTCTGCTTGCGCAGAACTTGTTTATTTAATCTCATTATAAACTTATATAAATTTGGTGTGGGTCCCATATATATCTAATAATAATTATTGAGATATCGGTATACCCAAAATCCACCAGCCGCCACTGATGTTTGGTATTATTTGATTTTAAGATATTTAATGTATAATATGCTCAAAGTTGCAATAAATCTTATATTTTCCAATAAATTATGTATTTAATTAGTACCCTGGTATTCTCGTCACTTCCCGTGCATTCAAATTTAGAAAACACAGATATTTCAGAAACTGTTTGAAAAAGTGACTGGCCCGGTCTGGAACAGTATATTTATTATATTATCTATGTTCTCATAACAAAATACTGTTAATTTTCTCCGAAAACTATATAAAAAAGTGAGGTCAAAAGTTGCCCAACTTTTATAGAATCACCCATATACATATTGTGCCTTTGGTTTATTTTAATATTCATTCCAGATTAATTAAATAATAAATTTCAATATCAATTTTCATTTATTAATTATCGACAAAAATGTATTTTATTTGTAATAAAATGTGATTCATATACATTAACTTTTATCAAAATTGGAATTTTGTTTCCAATAAAAATACCTTTAAGCAAGTGTCATAATAATAACGATAAAATTAAGTATTTATTTAATATTAAACGTTTATTTAAAATAAATAAAAATATAAGAAAATCAAAGATTAAAAAATTAAATATTATTACTTCCGTAGAATTAACTTCTTCTTAAGAACTTTTTCCTTTCGAATCCTTAAAGATCGACAAGTTTTATTTACTTCAGGAACCTCGTTTTGACTAGTAGAATACTCAGTAAAGTCCGTTTGACTAGATGCATCGACATTTTTTACGCTCTGCCTCAAAATCGGAAGAGGAATCGGAATGGGAATGGGGACGGGAAGGAAAATGGGATACGGCAACAAAATTGTGGCAGGAGGAAGAAGGCCTTCGAAAGATTGCCTTAGAGAGGTTTCTGTTGGTTTTGGAAGCGTTTCATCAGAGTCTTGCAGGGCAGGAATTTTCGTTTCAGCTTCGACATCAGCTGGTGTATCATGTCTAACGCGTAAATCCTGAGGTGCCTCACAAACATCCGAACTGTTTGTCACTGTAGACGAATACTGTTTTCTGGTTCTCATAACTTTATTATCCCTCACGCGTTTGGTTCTTCTACCCATCAGTTTGGTAGGGGGAGCCACTGCGATTAACGACAGTGGAGCTGTTTGAGGTTCAGGTGGTGAGGTTATAGGTCGGGGCACCGGCGATTTGCAGTTTTTCATCCAAAGGTCGGGAGTTATCAGCATGCCACTTGTTGCGTCGTCTTCGTAGAGGTGTGGATGTTGTTCGAGATGGGCGCTGGTCTCCCGGCAAAAAATGTGCATTTTGTATTGGTTTAAGCATTTCTCAGAGCAGAATTGTAGCTGAGCGCCATCCTGAAAAAATACCACACTATATTTTTCTGAACGTTTTTGGCGTAACTAATCCAAATTCATATGAGTGATTCTACAAAAGTTGGACAACTGCACCGAAAAAAATAATGTAGTTGAGTTAACATTTGCCTAAATGTCATTTTTAAAAATGTTGTTTCAACAAAAAACCTATTGGATTAATCTATATTTTGGTGTTAAAGCAAAAGTCAGAGTTTGTCAAAGTTTATTTGTTCATTTGACAGTTTAAATATTAATTTAACATAAACTAATATTTTGAATTAAAATGTTTATCGTACTTTGATTTAATAGCTGGAATTTGTTGAATCAACTACTGAAATTTTTAGGATTACCTAAAAAAACTATTAAATTAACGTTTAGTTGCTCTTTAATCCAAAACTTTAAATTTGTTCATTTAACAAATTTAAAATGTTACTTTAAAATTTAAAATGTAAAATTTGCATTCATAAAATTGCCGAGAATGGCGCTTCGAACACTCACGCCACGTCATTAGACAATGACGTTTTCTTACATCTCGCCTTAGTTAGCTTACGATTAGGTGTATATAAGATGAGATATCTGTTTGTTTAAGGTGTGTTCCACAGTAGAACTTTCACTAAGAAACTTCTAGTCGGTGACCCAACATCGATCCCGACTTCTCACGAGCTGGCACGAACCGCCTTATAACGTGACGTCATAATAATAATCCGGTTTTGTTCCCCGAACATACAAAATTTGTTGTCAAGCTAGATAGCTTAGATGGTAGGGCGTTTGCTTTGCATGCGAGAGGTCCCGGGTTCGATACTCAGAAGTTGTCGAATTTTTTTTACTTTTTTATTTCATAAATTTGTTGTTCCTTTGTTAAAAAGTGTTTTATTTTTATCGTAACATAAATTTGCCCATTTTAGTTGGGTTTTTTGCTCAATGGGGCGGGGGGGGGCAATGGGGCGGGGTCGGTTGGGTTGTGTTGTTGAGTTTGGGTTGGTTTGGTTTTATTACGTAACTAACGTGCCCTTAACATGTATACAGGTACAATTTATTATTATATTATTGTTGTGCCGTCAATTTTAAATGATAATGATGCATTGTATAATATATAATAAATTCTTTGTCCAGTCGGGATCGATGTTGGGGCACCGGCTAGAAGTTAGTCTTTCACTACACCATATTGCCCGACACTGTTAAGACCCTCAATACAGGGCGAAACAGTCTGTCGGTATTTGAAGTAGGTGGAACACATGATACAAAGATGTATCATGGGTGGAACACGCTCAAAACAAAAACTCTGGGCGAGGTGAAGGTTCAATTCTTTCTATTTATATATAATAATATATTATTTCCATAATTGTGTTTTGGATACCAACCTTTAAAGAATTTTACATTTTCAGAATGTTAATTTAACATTTTATTGGTGTTAAGTGAATATGCTAAAAAGGTTACCTGGACATTTCAAGAAATTTACCTTAACACCCTAAGAATGTTAAATTAACCAAATTAGCAGATTAGAACAAATATTCTTATTTTGTTCATTTGACTGTTATTTGTTGTTCAATTAAACAATACAATTTGACATTTTTAGATGGTTAAGTAAACGTGCAAAAACCATTGCTTGTATTTAAAGTGCATAAAGAGTTGAATTAATATTTTTTTTGTTGTTTCAACAGCTTATTTTTTTCAGTGTGTCATCATTCAATAGAGTAGGTATTTTAAGTTTTAAGGGGTACCCATTTTAATATATTACATTAATTACATAACACCCATATTATTATATAAACTTAAGTTTAAATTTAAACCCGAGTTTCATAAGTGCTGTGTTAAATTATGCAATCGCGTCGATAGGTTTTAAGTATTCAGAAATATTGTCTTCACACTTTGGACTAAAAAAACCGTTTTTTTTCTTTGAATGAGTATAACATTATGGCGTTTTAGTAACGGGTTGAAGTTAGCTCTATTTTAAATTTGTAAAAAGTGAGGTTAAATTCCTCTGACAGTCATCAGATGTCATATGTTTAACACATAAAATTGGCATCATTTTTTTTGAAGGACGAAAAATTCTTACCCATCGACATGGATTATCTAATGGTACCCCCATACTTTTATGTTTAAAAGAATTTAAAAAAAATGTATTTAAAGTTCTCTGTCTCATTACTTTTCGGCCACCCTGTATAAATACAATTTTTTTGTTTTATTTATATGATAACTTTATTAAAAATTTCTGAAAATTGCTTTGTATTTCTATCCCATAAAGTAGATATACCTACATATGGGTGATTCTACAAAAGTTGGACAACTTGATATCATCAGTCAATAGAGTAGGTATTTTAATATTTTTTGTAAATATTTTAGTATATTACAAAAGATCCAGGTTTTTTTAACTTATCCACCCAATTTTAATGTATTTTGTCAAAAGCACGTTTGTAGAAAAACATAATAAATATTCAAAACATTAGTACCTTGGCGTGTCACAACTCCTGAATCAAATATTTGAGAGATTTTATTTTAAAATACATTCAATTTATCTTAAATTTTTCAATTTTACTCCAAACAAAATTGGGTATTTTTCATATTTTATCATAGATTCGAATAATAGCAATTTTTAAAAAATTGATAATCTTTGTCCTCACTTTTACCCGTCAGTTCTGTGTCCAATGTTAAAATTCAAAATTCCTGCGAAATATTGAAGTTTAAACGTCGTCCTCGTTTTAACTCAAGTGTTGGTAAAAAAATTACCTACAGAGCCCGCCCTTTGCACGACAGTCATCTTGAAAACAATGCAAGCGGCGAAGTTGTGCTGAATGCACGTATAGTTCCAGTCAAAATTTCAGTACTGTGGTGAGTAGTTATTTTCTTACGTATATATATTTCATTGTAATTTATATAAGGCTATATGTGATTTGTTTATAAGTAGCATCCACTAATAAAAAATATCGGTAAAATACTTAATTCCGAATAATAATCTCAAATTTGTATCCCATTCATCAGTACCGTGTCGTCAGTTTCATGTTCGATGTTTCGGTTATCTTTTTTTCGCAAACATCAATTTAAATTCTGCTTGCGCAGAACTTGTTTATTTAATGTCATTATAAACTCATATAAATTTGGTGTGAGTCCCATAATTAATAATTGAGATATCGGTATACCCAAAATCCACCAGCCGCCACTGATGTGTGGTATTATTTGATTTTAAGATATTTAGTGTATAATATGCTCAAAGTTGCAATAAATCTTATATTTTCCAATAAATTATTTATTTAATTAGTACCCTGGTATACTCGTCACTTCCCTTGCATTCAAATTTAGAAAACACAGATATTTCAGAAACTGTTCGAAAAAGTGACTGGCCCGGTCTGGAACAGTATATTTATTATATTATCTATGTTCTCATAACAAAATACTGTTTAATTTCCTCCGAAAATTATATAAACAAAATGAGGTCAAAAGTTGCCCAACTTTTGTAGAATCATCCATATAAAAACACATTTTGTTCAATCCATGACAAACGATACTGAGGGTGAACAAATAAATATGTTCTTTTCGCATTAAATCTGGTGAATTTTAAAAGAAAACATTCCAAATTATAATGTGCGACAAAAAAAAACTAGAAGAAAGGCGTAATTTTAAAGTTAATTAGTGTTCAAAATCTGTACTCAAGTGAACTGGCTGAATGACCATTGTGCCTCTAACTATTGGGAATACGAAAAATAAAAACTGTCAATCTTTCAACCGTTTTGCCACGTTGTGATTTGAAGTTATTTAGTATTGGTGGATTGTGTCACAGTCCCTAAAAAATTGACAATTTTTACGTTATAAATGTGTTTTTTGTTACTTTGCCACTGTAACGCCCGAAACGAAAAATGATGTAATTTTTTAAGTATAATACCTTACAGATTGATTAGTATTATAATATGTAGTAAAAGTAACGTTAACCATAACGTTACTTTTACTACATATTATAATACTAATCAATCTGTAAGGTATTATACTATACACCAGGTAATGATTTAAAATACCTACTAACTAATATCTGAGCATGAGACTAATTTGATATGTTTTTCTTGATTAAAAACTGTAACACCCGAAACGTTTCGGGTGATACAACTTTTTTCATATGCATGTCGATATATGTGTGTGTATTGCTTAAAGAATGCAATAAGTATTATTTTTACAAAGTGACTAGAAGTACACCGGGAGTACCGCTATTAAAAGTACACCGGGTGGAAAAAAATCCTTATTTAGCATATTTGTCAATTGTATAATATTAAATGGTCGCTCAATGGGGCGGGGGGCCCAATGGGGCGGGGGGCCCAATGGGGCGGGGTCGGTTGGGTTGGGTTGTTGAGTTTGGGTTGGTTTGGGTAATTCATACTGACATTTCATTAATTTTGTTGTTAATTGTATTTCAATCACTTAATTAAATTTTAATCAATGTTTATACAACTTGAAAGTTAGCTTAATAATTACATAATTAATATCAAGAGTTAACCAGCTCTTTACCAACTGTTATACAACTGGGCCTTAGTGTACCAAATTAATGTCAACTAATAAATCCGAAATTTTACCATCAGCTGTTATAGAAACACGCATGCGCACAAACCTGATGTACTTTTAATAGCGGTACTCCCGGTGTACTTCTAGTCACGGCGTTATTTTTAAGGCTCTTTCGACGGCCCACTAGCGCCGCCATTCTAAGAATATTCATTAAATCTATTTATTAGATTGATAATATTCCTAATATTCTTGTAATATTCAGAGAATATTCGTGTCTATAAGTTACCTACTTTTATGAATGATTCATTTCAGTATCTTATTCATTTTGCTATATTCCTACAATATTCTGCTAGTATTAAAAATTTGTTTATGATTTTTCTAAAATCGATAATTTACAAAGAAAAAATGGACTTGTTTCACGGAGTATAAGCCCGTGACTTGTACTGTTTTGAATTTTACAGATTCATTTAAAATTTAAAAAAAAATAGGCAGAAAGACTAAGGTCGTTAGCCTTTTGGAGTAATCCAATAAAGTTTATTTTATTATTATTATTATTATTTAAGAAAAATGGACCAATTGAATATTACTAGAATGTAGAACGATAAAAACGTGCAATTGAAGAATATTGAAATAATCGTGTGCCAATGGCTAGCCTAAGCACCATAAGGGCTTGAGAAGATTGAAACGCAAAAAGCAATTTTAAAAATTATGTTTTTTTAACCATTGTTTTTAGAGTTGGCGACGACCCAGACGATTAGGAGGTCTAGTTTTGGAAGGACACTTTTGAAAACTCCACTTTTCGTTAACGACTTTTTTTTTATAACAATAAATTTTATTTTATTTTATATTCCTTATAATAATTTATTTATGTTTTTAATAATACTTTTTTTATAATATATGCTACTTTTTATTCATGCTAAATATATCACAACCATATCCCAAATATACCAAGAATAACCAAAAACATCCGTTTGGGAATATTTCTATGAAATGTTGGATCATATTTCAAGAATATTCTTAAAATATTCAGAACTGCTAAAAACATGCTATCCCAAGCAGCATTTTAAGTTTAAATAACTACAAATTTACTACTAAGTCAACTTTAAAGTATTTTTTACGGTTAACCAAAACGGTTTTATATACGAAAAATTACCAAATTTGGGGAATGGTTTATTTCGTTATTTTACCTACATAATAACCTTTTTATCTACTAACAGAATAACGTAATAAAAAAAATATATGTTTTTTTATGTTATATTTCTTTGTATTTTAATACTTTGTAAATATTTTATAGAAAAAATAAATATTATTATTTTTATTATTATTAAATATTTATATATAAAAAAATATATATTTAAAAATTGCTTGGGTAAAAATTCAACAAAACTTAAAACCTACAAAATTTTATAAAATCTTTTAAAAATCATTTAGTTTGAATCATTTTTTAATAACTAAAACTTTCCTTATTATATTTTAGAAAAATATTTATGAAAAAGTATTATATAAATGTTATATAAATAAATAATGGATGCCATCTTAAAAAACTCATTATGGCGACCTGAAAAAAAATTTCCCGTAAAGTTTTATTTTTCACTTTAAGCTTATTTTTCCCTGTTTAGTCTATATTAATAGTATTTATAACCACTTATAATTCTAAAAAATACCAGGCGAATAGGAATTATTTACGGTTATACAGTGGTCTTAATATCGTAAAATTATGACTTATGAGTAACATTTACCATTAAGTAAAAATTCTGAAGTTAAAATTAAGTAATTTTCTTTCGTAAAAATTACGTCCCTCATAATACTTTAAAGTGTTGAAATTTAAGGGTTATTAAAATAGGTAAAAATAACATAAATAAAACTTATTAAATAACTTTAAAAAAAGTTTTACTTCAAAGTAAATTTTAAGGTTAATTTAACAAAATGTGTACTTAAATTAAGTAATATTGCCTCAAAGCTCTACGCTTTGACTTGAGATGCAAATTCTCAAGAAAATGTTCCAAGAATATTTTTTACCCATGATATAACAAGTGGTATGATTATCATCGATGATATTTTCGAATTGAAACCGAGCTGCAGATTGTGCTGCTTCGGTTTAAATGAGTAAATATCATCAATAATTAATTATACCACGAGTTATATTTAGTGAGAAAATATAATGAATTTTAGGATTTAACGAATTGTCAGTTTGACATTTGAAATTAAAATGTGCTTTAAAATATAAAAAGAATTTAATAAACCTTATTTATTCAAACTTACCTTAATTTTATTATCGTATACACCAACCCATCGATCTTTTATAGTTTATAATTCATTATTTTAATCATTTAACAAACACAGTATTTAAATGTCAACAAATGTCAAATCAAGAAAAGTGTCAAAATCCTTAGCAACGTGTAAACAAGGTGATAAAAATATTGTTGCTTTGATAAAATGCGTAACCATGGAATACTGGTATTTTATTGGTTCTAATTATAATGAATTGTATTCCTGGTGACTTATAGTTAAATATTCTTTAAATATTCCTGGAATATTTTAAATATTCTTGGAACATTAACAAAAGAATATTCTTAGAATATCTGACGAATTTCCATTGGACTTTTCTAAGAACATTCCAAAATTCATGTATATCTTCTGAGAATCTTTAAAGCATATTCCAATGTTCAAAAAAGTTTATGCGGGGAATATTCTAGGAATATTTAATGTTCTTTGGATAACGAGTTCAAAAAAATATTATGTAAAAAACTGACGTGACGAATTGATAAAAAATTTACCTGAAAATCAACATAACAAATTGTGTTCTTCACATTACGGCACCAATCGCAAGTTTTCGTTTTTTTAAAGTTGGCACGTCTCGACTGCGAGAAACACATTTCCGAGCAAAAACTCGCTATTGTCGACTTTAGGCCAAGACTTTCTTTAACCGATTTGCCACACCATACGCATTCATCTAAAAATTAATGCAAAATTAAAACAGATACATACAGTGCGTCTACTTAAGATGGCAACATATGGGAAACTTTTTTATTATTAATTTTAAGAAAAAAAGTTATTCCTCGTAAAAAGTTCTGCATGTTCTAGAATCTAAAATAAAATCATCAGATATAAAAAATTGATATATAATGATTTTATTTTAGATTTTAGAACATGCAGAACTTTTTATAAATAATAACTTTTCTTTACAAAATTAATAATAAGAAAGTTTCCCGTATGTTGCCAACTTAAGTAGACACACTGTATAATTAAGAATGAGCTAAACCAGTTAAGTGCATGAGAGGGTTATGAGAAAACGGGAAATTATAATCAACGATTTAGGATGAAAACAACTACATATCATATGTCATACGAGTATGCGTATTGATTATAATTATTGTATCCTCATTACGCATTTGTTTATTTTAAAATATTAGTTTTTTAACTTTAAATTCAGTTTTAAAAACTAATGCTTCGGCCAACATACAAGTCAAACCTCTTTATTTATCTAGGGTACCATTAAAATTTAAGTTTATATACAGAGTAATTCGTAATATAATGTTTAATTGAAGATAAAAATTCTAATATACCTATATGAAATCATGAAATATGAAGTTGGGTTGAATATAAAAATAAAATGTATAAAAATGAAATCCTGTTATTGGGCCCTGGGCCTGTTGGATACAAATAAATAAATAAATATTTATTTTAGAAATAAAAATATTTATGTTGAGTTTCAAGTAAATTAAAAACTAGCATGTAATTAAATCTTATGTTACACTGTTAAAATATCTGTGGTGTAAAGAGTAATCCTATTTATAAAATGGTGTCAAAATCCAACACCAAGTGGTGTTAATATAAACACCATGAATTATGGTTGAAAATGTTATACAGCAAACACCAAAACGGTGTTAATCTAAAAATATTTGAGAAGTGCACCTACACAGAAAAAAAGGAATAGTTCATTTAACTATATTAATTTAGTTGACCGATAAGTATTCATTTAAATCAAATGTGGGAAGGTTAATATAAACAAAGATTAGTTTGACGGTACTAAATCAGATAGTTTTTTTTTAATTGGTTAAATTAACCCAGAAAACTTTAGTGAAACCAACCCGCTGTTTGGTTCAGTTTACTAAATATGTTGTTTGTAAAATAAGAGTTATTTTAACCTAAAGCACTCTGTTAAAACGATTAAAACAATTTGCCGTGCATTCCTGGTTGCATAGTGTGTACGATCGCGGCAAAGGCGGTGTGAATCACGTGATGTTCTTAAATCTCGCCTCTGTTGACTTACATGAAGAGTATATAAGCTCAGGTAGTCATTTGCTTTGGTGTGACACTATAAGTTGTTAGGTGCTAAAGAGACCTTAAATAGGTGAAAACAGCTGTTAATACTTGAAGTATTTGAAGTTGGTGGAACGCACTAAAAACATTATCTCTAGCGAGTTGAAGGTTCAATTTTCTGGAATAATACCACTGGTAATATACTAGTAATGCGTCAAGGAACTTAATGTTTCCTTTTTTTACTTTTTTTCTGTGTAGTATAATTTAATTTGTCCAAAAACACGTAATATTTAACGCTGAAAAGAAGTTCAATTTACACCAGGTAAAATTTATTTTAATACTGTGTGAAAGTTAAATTTACACTATTTTAGTATTTGAATTTACCAACGAACCATATTTAACACCATTTTGGTTTGTATCAATATAGACCATGTTGTTAATTTGGTGTTAAAATGGTCATGAAATTTTGAACAGTGTAGTGCATAGAAGTTGACTTTAAAGGGAAAATATATACATTTTAAAGATAATTACTTAATTAGGTTTATAAATTATACGTTTTAGGAAGTCATTCAGTGTTGCCAAATTGGCAAAAACTTAAATCATTGATCAAATTAAATCGTCGGATTAATTTGATCAGAGTTTACTAAACATTTTTGCATACCGCCATTAATTTCAGTGTAAAAACTTTGTTTTGATTTTTCTAAAAGTGACACTTAAAAAAATCATATTTCCTAAAGATGTGAAAATAACAGAATGGACGTAATTAAATTTTTATTTTTTCCTCCACATGAGTTGTTTGAGGATCAAAGTTAAGCATTTTTAAAAATTATAAATTTTCACATTTTTTTTTTCGTAGGAGATATCATTCTAGAATAATGAAAGTTAAGTTGTGGCATCAGAAGGTTAATACTGAGTAAGATCACGTCAAGTGAACCCCCCATTTCCCACTTGATCGTGGAATTTAAATTAATATATTTTAATATAAAGCAGTCACCTTCAATAGTGAAACCAAAAACAGTTTTTTTAAATTTTCCTTTTAAGAACAATTTTTTTTACAATGAAAATTTTAGAGACTTTTAATTAAAAAATACATAACAGAAAAACCGTTAGAGATATTTTAATGAAATTTTCAGCATTTATTGTTTAATATTCACATTTTGAAAAACAATTCAAAATTTTAAATTATTTATTTATTATCATATTTTTAATTAACTTTTAAATAAACAAATAAAAATTTTAATTACTTCTCACTCAAATTATAAATTTGTTTTATTTCAGTTATATGCATTGTACACTTAAGTTAAATATTCTGCAATAAAATTCCACTGCCCGCTATTAGTTTAAACAATATGAATTTATTTATCCCCGACCGCGGTCGCGCGCGAGCCCTTTCGGTATAGCGCGCTGCCGCGCGCCGTAGACTCGGCATCCGCTCCAATCAGTAGTAAATATAAATAAAGACTAAAAATGAACAAATAATTAAATGAAACATAAATTTCCCATAGCGAGATACTTTTTTTATTGTTTGTTTTTTTAATTATCTCCATTTGTTTTTTATATATAAACGTAAATAACAAATGGATTTTACAAGCCATTTGTTAATTAAGTTATTAATATTAAACACAAGAATTCCAATTTTGTAGATTTGCTTTTTTTTATTTAATTAATTTATTAACTTTATAATTTTTATTAATATTTATTATATTATGGGCCGGGTGAATAAATGCTTTAATCCTTTTAAAAATTACGTGATAATTTCAGAAAAAATTACTTATTAGTTTATTTTTTAATTTAAAATTAATTGAAAAATAAATTCGGAGCAAATAATATTAAAAAAAAAAATTTCCAACGGAGCAGGTTCTCAGTATAATATATAATTTTGCAAATTTAGTTAATCACAAGAACGACTTTAATGTTGAAGCTAAATGGCTGAACTTTTTCGCGACATCTCACAGTAGAGGAGCATGTGATGGCTTATGAGGAAGCGTGAAAAGACAAGATTATCGTGCTAGTCTACAACGCGACAATGATAAGCATAAGTCATCATTTAAATTTGCTCTCAAGGAGAACATGATTCTCATGAACAAAAATACAAACTAAGTTTTCAAAAATCTGTTACTATAAAAATTACCCGCCACTTTCACTATTTATATAATCTTTTTAAAGATATAGACGGTGTATCACTTCAGTGTAAGCTTTTTTCGGAATATATAAAAATTAAAAATATTACAATTAAAAAAAAAAAGTAACATGCTGCGGGGAAATTTATGTTTCGTTTAATTATTTGTTAATTTGTATAGTCTTTATTAATAAATACAAACAAATATTATATCTATTTGTTATAAATTATATTTAAAAAAATTTATTTTTTTAAATAATTATTAACATTGTTTTTTATTGTAAAAGACAGTTTATTTTCTATAAATAGTAATTGGAGCGGTGGCCGTGTCTACGGCGCGCGGCATGCCGCGGCAGCGCGCTGAACCGACAGCGATCGCGCTCGGGGATAAATTAATTCATATTGTTTAAACTAATAGCGGGCAGTGGAGTTTTCTTGCAGAATATTTAACTTAAATGTACAATGCATGTAACTGAAAAAAAAAACCAAATTTATAATTTGAGGGAGAAGTGATTAAAATTTTCATTTGTTTTTTTAAGTTAATAAAAAATATGATACTAATTAAATAATATAAAATTTTTAATTATTTTTCAAAATGAGAATAAATCCTAAAAAATTCATTGAAATATCTTTAAAGGTTTTTCTGTGATATATTTTTTAATTAAAAGTCCCCAAAATTTACATTGTAAAAAAAATTGTTGAAAATTTTAAATGGCTTGTAAAATTCATTTGTTATTTACGTTTATATATAAAAAACAAATGAAGATAATTAAAAAAAACAATAAAAACAGAAAGTATCTCGCTATGGAACATTTATGTTTTATTTATTTATTTGTTCATTTTTACAGTCTGTATTTACAAATAAAAACAAATATAAAATCTATTTGTTATAATTATTACATTAAAAAAATTAATTTGTTAAATAACATTGTTTTTTTATTGTAAACGACAATTTATTATTTATTAATACTGATTGGAGCGGATGCCGCGGCATGCCGAGTCTACGGCGCGCGGCAGCTCGCTATACCGACAGCGCTCGCTCGGGGATAAATAAATTCATATTGTTTAAACTAATAGCGAGCAGGGGAATTTTCTTGCAGAATATTTAACGTAAGTGCATTAATCAATGGTAAGTGTACAATGCATGTAACTGAAATAAAACAAATTTATAATTTGGGTGAGAAGTCATTAAAATTTTTATTTGTTTATTTAAAAGTTAATTAAAAATATGATAATAAATAAATAATTTAAAATTTTGAATTGTTTTTCAAAATGTGAATATTAAACAATAAATCCTGAAAATTTCATTAAAATATCTCTAAATATTTTTCTGTTATCTATTTTTTAATTAAAAGTCTCTAAAATTTTCATTGTAAAAAAAATTGTTCTTAAAATGAAAATCACTCAGAACTCAGAACAGTTCCACCATCCGGTCGACATCATTCAGTTAAGTTCCAAACTATCGGGCCTCGACATCCAACTTAAACGCTGTTGTAAGTTAAACCACTATTTTTTCATTGTAAATAAATAACGTACTACGATCAACACAAGTGTTTAAATTCACAATGGTTTCACTATTGAAGGTGACTGCTTTATATTAAAATATATTAATTAAAATTCCACGATCAAGTGGGAAATGGGGGGTCCACTTGACGTGATCTTACTCTACTATATTTCTAAAAAAATCAAACCTAAAAATGGTAAAAATGAGAAGTTCTTTTGTAAATTTTAGATGGTCACCATTTGGTTCCTAGTTGTTACGGTTCAATTTTATTTTATAATATTAAATTTACATTTACTACCCAATAAAGCATCAATACCTATTCTAAGTTAAAAGCTAGAGCCCATTATGTACAAGTATGAAATTGACCCAATTTTTGACTTCGAATGGGTACTGACTAGAAGTTATGCGATAAAAAAAATAAATGATGGTGGATTAGCATTTCTGGTACCCCAAAGATTTCCTCAATTTTTTTTATTAAAATTAAAAATCATGCGGCACACTTTTTAATTCAAATTTGTTGATTTCATATGGAATGACTCATACCTGGTAATTTGGGAAATTCAGATTCAGAACTGTTGCAATCAGAATTGGATCTATAAATCTTTCCAACTCTTTTATGCTCATCGGAATTTTCGTAACCATACCATCCCAATAGCTCGTTCATAGCGTTTTCAGCGAAATCCTGAAACAGGTAATAAATTGCGATTTTATTAAAAAATATTTTAACAATTTTATTTTACTGCTTTGATAAATGCAAGGTTATCGTAGAGACCACGTTGCATCCAGCAGTATATTATATTATATTCTGCATATTGTTTTTTGCACCTGCCCTGATGGCACACTTTATTCTAAGAATGTTTTTTAAACCTTCCAGTGAGAATATTTTTAGGATCATGCTATATTTCTTCTAAAGAACATGCTTAAAAGACATATAGCATGATCCTAAGAATATTATTACTGGCCTATAGGCAGGTTCTTAGAAGGTGCAAAGTTTTAGTGGTAAAAATTAGTCTACTCTAAACATATGCTTAGAAGTAATTGCTATAAAAAGTTCATTTAGGAATATTCATGTTAAGTATATTTAGTTCAGTTACCTATATAATAGTAAAATATACCATAAACTACGTATAAAGGTATATACCTATACTTAAGTACCTAATTAGTAATAAGTATTAAATACTAAGTAAAAAACAACCCAAAATATTTTTTTATAGTAATTTGTCAAATTAAAACAATAATCGATAACAAAAATACTTTTAATATAGGTATTTTATTTTATGTTAAAAATAAATATTTATTAATTTGTATACCGATTTTTTTATTTTTTTTTATGTATAATAATCCTAACTATCTTCAACTTCAATCTAATCTGACTTATCCCACAAAATTTTCCAATTTTACTTTTTATGAAATAATGTCATACAACTTATGGTTTAGAGGTCAAATTGTTTATTTAATATTTTTAAATAAATATATATTAATATGTCGCAAAAATTTTTAAGGGGACGACAAATACATTTCACTGTCATATTATGACAGTGAGGCGTATTTGTCGTCTCCTGAAGAATTTTACGAATGTAGAATACCAGATATTAGAACGTGGGTATCTGCTCTCTAAAAATGAATTAGTCAAAAATGAATAGTTATTAGTTGCTGCTTTTTCACTTGTACCATAGTTAACCATGGAATACCATGGTATCCCAAAATTTAACAGCCAATTCTTATGTAAAATTGTCCCCTAAATCCAAAAATACCGTCAAAGTTGAGATATAGTCAATTCCATTTTAAATGGAAAATTGACTATATCTCAAAAATTATTCTACTTTTTTAACTTTTGATGACATTTTCGGATTCAGGGGACAATTTAACATAAGAATTGGCTGTTAAATTTTTGGGATATTGTTATATTATTATATTCCATGGTACAATTGAAAATGCAGCCACTAATAACTGTTAAATTAGTCATTTTTGACAAATTCATTTTTAGAGAGTGACATATTTGGAAATATTCTTAAAAGCTTCCTAGAAGCTCCATAAGAAACCTACTAAGAACATTCCAAAAACGTATTCTTAAAATGTTCTTAGTATGCTTTTTAGGAAGCTTTTAGGAATCTAATTGCATCATTAAAAGGGTATATATTGAATGTTTTAAAAGTCCCTTAAAACATTCTTAGCAATGAGGGAAGGTTCTAAGAATATTCCATTATTCCGGGTCATATCTTCTTGGAAGATTCTTAAAATCAAATTTTGCCATCAGGGTGAACTGTTATAAAAATTAAATTTGTTAACATGAGTTTGTATTTTTTAAAATTTTAGCATAATTTCTTGTAGAAAACCATTTGATTTATTAATAAAGCAACATTTTTTATCAAAATTCTTTTCATTTAAGTTCACAATTCCCAACCAATTCTTTTGTTACTGGGTCTACAAAAATAAGATTCTTTTTGAAAATTACAAGAATTAGGTATGGTTGAATTATTGAAATAGGATTTTGTTATTAAATCTACAAAATGTTTGTATATATATAATTACAAACAGATAAAACAGATTACAGTTGGTTGTAAACTAAACATAAAGTTATGTGGATCTGGATTAACATAAAATATGGTTAATATTTGGTTAAAATTAACAAATATTTTTTTACTGTGTAATGGTAAATACAAATTTACAGTGTAGTTTGGTAAAATCAAAATTAATATCCTGTTTTACCAACCCAATTGCTTTTTCCTTGAACCGAAACCGAAAAAGGCCATTTAAATTAGCCAAATTCCTGGAAAAATTACTTGCTGGTTTTATATTTATTCAATATATCAAATGAATTTGTTTCATTAATTTGTCACACCAAGGGGTGCTTTTTCCATTTATAATAATAAACTCAATTTTACACCCCTGCAAAACGGTAAAAAATTTAAAAATCCAGAAATGAGCGTATGCACAAGGGACGGTTGAAATTTGTTGGCTCAATAAATTGGCCAGTTAATCCAGCAACATTTATAAATATTTAGAAATAAAACCTTTTAAAATCAATACAGGATATGTGCATAAATTTATTCTTTAGTCACCTGTAATTTTACAGTTACCTACACTGATTTCCCACGCAATTTCAATTTATTTTTATTCTTGTGCAGCGTTGCCAAATAACGCGTTTCTGGGGATTTTTAGGAAAAATATCTCATGTAAATAAATAAAATAGAACATAAAATAACATAATGTTAATAAATCGATCCTGTTTATGTTTCTGTCTTACAACATAACCAAAAATAAATTTTTGCCCGATTTTTTTTTTACTGGTAAACAATTAAAAAACGAAAGTTCAATTTTTTTATCTGGACTGCGGCAACGTTGCAAATTTAGGGGTTTGGTTGGTAAATACGGAACCAAAATTGGTTGTGTTGATTAAAACAAACTAAACTAGTTATAAATGTAATTATAATGTAATTGTGGTTATGTTTAAATTATTGTAGGTTACATTGAACGGTTGTCAATTTGAGTCAAGTTGGGTCATCTATGGTTGGGTTGTCAAAATTTAATACTTTTGTGTTTTTGTATTGAGATAATAAAATAATTTTCATAAGGTAAGTGCGGGTAATAAGGCCCAGCAGGTTATAAGGCCCGACAGCCATTTTACCTTCATTTTTTAAATTATAATACTGGGGCTGCCATATTATGATTTTACTAGGTAATATTTGATATTCTATAGAGTTCCGCCTTAATAAGATGTCGTTTGCTGATAGTAAATACAACAAGTGTTTCGACAACAAGATTCTTTCGTGAAATTATAAAAATTGTGGTATTTTCCTAGAGCTGTGCCTAAAAAGCGTTTATTCAATTGCTGCGCCTTTACAGGTATGTATCAATACACATATTACCAATGTTTTCCTAGAAAATGATTGGTTTTGTACTATGCATGTCTGAGTTATAACCTTAAAACAAGGATCGTTACAAAGCAGGTAATAAGGCCCACCAAATAATGAAACTGGAAAGAAACCCCAAAAGGAGAGCGGCTCGGCAACAAAATGCAAGAAAAAAGCGAAGATTAGTCAAACGAAGGCCACTGTAGAACCATCGACCTCGACAGAAAGCGCAGACGCCAACCCCGAGGAAGATTGGTTCTGCAAGCTTTGTGAACTGGATTTTAAGGTTGATATGCGTCAGTGTGCCATGTGCCTCACCTGGGTTCATGAAAAATGTGTCGGACTGACGCCTGAGGATGAAGATGGGTTTATTTGTCCCAAATGTGCACCCTGAATGGATGGGCTTTATTATCTGTTGAGCATGAAATAAGGCCCATTAACGAGTTTTTTTAAAACCCTAAGAATTTTTATTTTTGCTTATTTCATTTGAGTTTATAAATGTTACATTATATAGTTTAAAGTTAATATATGTTTATGAAATAAAAAAAAATAAAAATGTGCACGTTTTCTTTGTTTTTTTTAATATAATGCGTTAGGTGGGCCTTATTACCCGCACTTACCTTATTTATTATTACTTTACAAGAAAGGCAATTTATTTTAAAACCAACTTCAGCCCGTGACTAAAAACCTGTTGCTAACTTCAGCCATAAAGCCACAACTTGTCATTGTGTATTTAAAAGGTCACTAAGTGTACGATAATGGGGGTTTTAAAGGTGGAAGTAGAAAAAAAATGTTGTACACAAGACATCCAGAAAAAACAAAATTTCAGTTTAATTTTTTTAAGTAATGAATATTATTATATTCATTACTTAAAAAAATTTTATAATAAGATATATCTAGACAAAACTTGTCTAGGATGTTATATTTGTTGTATGTTCGTAATAGGGACGTTTATATGAAATTTTAAGCTAAAGTGTTTCTACTCATTATTAATTACTTCATGTTAGAACGCGTATGCCGCATCCTTTATGTAATTGAGTAGCTTGTTATACGAAACCATTTTAAATACGGCTCATATACCTACCTACTAGTTATAATGTAAAAATAAGGAAAATTTTCTTTGATTTTTAAATATCTGGCAACACTGCTTCGATCCATGCAAGCAATTAGTTTATACAGGTTATAGTAGAGACCACGTTGCATCCAGCATTATGGTTTCATTTTCTTTAAACCCTTAAAACTCTGCTTTAACTTTTGCAGCTAATTTCCTACTCAGATTTTTATGCCAAATTTGGATAAAATTAAAAAAACTATTCAGACAGAATTTAATTGAAAGAAAAAGAAGAAAAATATTTAAATATTGCACACCCAAATTTAAACCCCTGCATCTAAATTCTAAACTTCTTATTTCGAGATTAGAACTTCTAATTTTTAGGTGTTCTTTTCAAAGTCAACAATTGTATGCCCTCAAATTTCAAATAACTTTTTACCTATTACAAGCAGGGACCCGGATCGGACCGTTTTTGGACAGAAAACCGGACCGGAACCGGTATTTATTTGTGGACCGGAACTGTAACCGAACCCATATTATTTTTAAACGTAACGCTAGAGACCGAACCCGAATCCTTTAAATTTAAAACGGTTTTTTAGGTTATTTTCGGTTTTTTTTTCTTTAAAATGACTAGCATGGGTGGTAGGAACATTTTAGTGGGGATTTATTAATTACAGTGTTGCCTAGTATTATGTATACATATGACACCTGCAACACAAGTAAGTAAGTAAGCGTTAAAAGGCTGTTTTCCGGTCACAAATTTTTACTATCCTAGAGGAACAATTATTTGTGAGAACCAACAAAATTTTTGGAGAAAAAGAACAACAAAAGTTTAAAGTCCAGTTTTCTTTTATTTTTGGATAACTTATTTTAAGTAGGTATGAATTTTCCAGTTTTTCTATCGCAAGATCAGTAGTAAAGAAAAAGAGAATGAAGAGCCTAAAATTGAAGAACCTGATTTGAAAAAAAGAATAGAAAAAGTAATTTAGTTACATGCCAAAAAAAATTACAAAAAAAATATATAAAAATTATACCTACACGGTGTGCCTGAACGAAGTTTAAGTCACATAGAAATACCGCCAAAAACTGATTGCAGTTTCTTGTTAGGGACCCTTTGGTGACTTAAAAATGATATTTACTAATAATCCTAGCTGCTCCTCTTTTCAATATTTTTTGAAAATTCATGATTTTTTTTAAATTTTTGTTTATCTTAAAGTCTGCCTTTGACAGAGAAAACATTTGTACACCGATTTTTATAATATTGGAGTTTATTGTTAAGAAGATTTGGAGAATACTTTTTTTATACTGTGCACATCATTTAATATATACAGGGTTAGCCAAAAATCGCTTCTATTAATAAGAAAAAGCGTAAATTCATGATTTTGGCAAACACGCAAAAAATATATATAGGTACACATCCATTTTTTTTAAAGATATTTTTATGTTTATCAGGCTAAAAAATGGGATTCTTATTAAGACTTTATAAGAAAAATTTATTTTGTATAAAATTAAATAAAATAACATTTTTTTGAGATAAATCTTTTTTGTGCATTATGCTTTTTACTATTTAAAAAAGTGATTTTTGGCTAACCCTGTATAAATCTAATGATGTGCTCAGTATGAAAACAGTATTCTCAAAGTCTCGTTAACAGTATACTTACTCCAATATTATAAACATCGGTGTATACAAATGTGTATACACATTTGTATACAAATGTGTATACACATTTGTCTACCTTTAACAGAGTACCTATAGGTACTCTGTTAAAGGTAGACTTTAAGATAAACAAAAATTAAGAATTTTCAAAAAAATTCAAAAAGAGGAGCAGCTAGGATTTTGGTAAATATCATTTTAAAGTAACCAAAGGGTCCCGAACAAGAAACTGCAATCAATAAAAATCGGTGTACAAATGTGTACTCTAGCAAAGTTAAACTTTGCGATAAACAAATAATTAAAAAAAATGAATTTTTTACAAATTTAAAAAAAAGCAGTTAGAATTTTGGTAAATACCGTTTTTAAATCTCCAAAAAATGCCGATCAAAAAACTTTAACCAGTTTTTCATTCAAAATTGAAAACTACTAAAAAGCCTAAATTAAACAACATTTTAAATATTCTCTAAGCGTTATTTTATTTAATTTTATTAAAAATCTATTTTTTTTATAAAAGGTTAATAAGAATGCCATTTTGTAACCTTATAAACGTAGAAATATCTAAAAAAATGGGGAGAAATCTTTTTAGCGTGTTATGCCAAAATCATGAAATTTCGCTTTTGCTTTATCAAAAATAAGAGATTTTTGGCTCACCCTGTACCGTAGAACGGGGACTTCGGACGATTTTTAAGGTTTTTTCAAATTTTGAATCGGTAATGTTTGTTATTTTGAACTAATTTTTTTACAGGGGATTTTGGCATCCTTCCGGTATAAGTTTACGTAAAAATTATAATAGTCATACAAATACTAATACTACTTTTTTTTGTCAAAGTCTGTCCGAAGTCACCCCTTAAGGTGGGGCGGACAAGCGTTGTAAAATGTATATAATTGAAGCTAGCACATTCAGTGGCGACTTCAGACAGAAATATTGCTTTAAAAAAATAGTATAAAGCATAAAATTAGGAAAAAAAGCATGAAATTAGGTAAAAACTCATTCAAATGGAAAAGGGCATTTTATTTATCAATATATAAAATAAAATTGAATTCTGAGGATCAAAACAATAAAACAAATATATTTCTTCCTATACCTAATACTAAAGTATATTAAAAAAAATTTTCCTCTCTATAGTTTCTGTAAAAATTGCTCTCCAACATTTTTTATAGACCCTAACCATGTCCGAAGTCGCCCCATAAAATGCAAATATTTGTATAACAACCCTGTATAAAAGTTAATTTGATACGAACGTAAACCAAAAAAAAAATATTTATCAAAAAAATTACGTACTACCGAAAATCTATATTATTTTGATCATACAGTGCATACTTAATTGCTGGCACCAGTTACTTTTACCTAGTTATAAAAGAAGTAAAGTTTGAACTCCAGACTAAACGATGCAAAAAGCTTACTTCACTTAACAACCGAACCCACGTGCCTCTTGCCATAGCTTTAGCCATTTTCTACGAAGTTTTTTCCCAAATTACAGAACTCTGTTACGTCAGACGTCCCAATCGCGAATTTTTAATAGCTTTAAGGTAATGATGTCCGAAGTGGCCCCGGCTGTCCGAAATCGCCCCGTTTTACGGTATATATAAAATTATCATTAATCAGTATTAAAAAGTATTCTTTAAGTCTTCTCAATAATATACTCTAATTTTATAAAAATCGGTGTACAAATGTGTACTCTGTCAAAGGTAGACTTTGAAATAAACAAAAAATTTTAAAAAAAATTATGAATTTTCAAAAAATTTCGAAAAGAGAAGCAGCTAGGATTTTGGTGAATATCATTTTTAAGTCACCAAAGGGTCCCTAACAAGAAACTGCAATCAGTTTTTGGCGGCATTTTTATGTGACTTAAACTTCCGGGTCCCTTAATATTACAAGTGCACTTTAGCTACAGTTCTACACTATAAAAAGTAAAAAATCCCTTCTTGGGCTGTTTTTGATGGGCCCTGTATTATAAAAGGATATTGTGAATCCTAAAACTTTTATAATACATATAAAACCTGTGATAATTATGCATTGATAACGCAAACAAAATAAAATAACGTAATAAACAAACGGGCATGAGATTTGGCGAGAAATTTAGCGAGCGAGATGAAGGGTATAAAATATCGTGTATTTACGATGTCTGCTGATGAATATCAGTTGCACACCATCTGTCACATGATACCGCGGATCAGCTTACACTGATCGAGTTTCACATCCATGTTAGGCCCGTGCTCGCATTTATTATGCATTCAAATTACAAACAACGCTTGTTAACATTTAGCAGCGTTAAAATTTAGCATCTAAAAGTCCTTAATGTTTGTTGTTGTTATTACTATTATTGTTTTTCACACATGACGTTTACAAACTTACTTTTATATCACCGTCCAATTTTTCCTTTTTGATTGATGGTGCTCCATCAGACGAAATTTTATCCATTAATTTGTTATTATTGCTGGTAATGCAGGTAAACTACTTTTAACAATATTCAATATTGAAACACTGTCAACTAAAAATACTCGCACCTTCGTTTGCACTCTGCATGCCTATTTAACAAATGTGTTTATTTTAGAACACGAAGTGGGACATTCGCGCCACGATTTTAAATCGTCACCGCGCAAGCTCCTCTAAAACGCATGCGTTCTATCGCCTCCTGCCCCAACGAGGCTTTACTAATTTAATCGGTGAGAAATTTTTGGTTTAATAAACCCGCTCTTAATGGTTTTAACAATAATTAATATTTTACCATAGATCTCGAGTCATTCCATGGCAAACTATACTGAGGGTAAAAAAAATAAATATGTTCTCTTCGCATTATATCTGATGAATTTTGAAACAAAACATTCCAAATTATGTGCAATCAAAAAAATAGAAGAAACGCGTAATTTTTAAGTTAATTAGACAGTCAAAATATGTACTCAAGTAAACTGGCTGAATGACCATCGTGCCTCTAACTATTGGAAATACGAAAAAAAAATAACTGTCAATCAGATTGACTCAATCTGTCTACCGTTTTGCCACGTTGTGATTAAAGGTTATCGTGGTGGGTATCGCCTCACGGTCCCGAACAAATTGATAATTATCACGTTATAACTTATAACGTGATAATTATCAACACTCTTATAAGTTATTTTCTTGTTACTTTGACACTGTAACACTTGAAACAAAAAAATAAGGTAATTGTTTTATTATTATATATACCTTACAGATTGATTAGTGTAATAATCGAGGGGTCACCCACACCTGGGAATCCCTGGACATTTTAGAGGGGGAATACCATATATGGTATTCCCCTAGGAATACAATGGAAATACATAGGAATACAATAAAATATAATGGGAATACATGGGAATCCCTGGACGTTTTCCCTTTGGGTGGTTGACCCCTCGGTAATAATATTTAGTAAAAGTAAGGTTATGGTGGTAATGATTTAAAATACCAACTTATATCTGAGCAAGACTAATTTGATAAGTTTTTTTCTTGATTAAAAAGGGTAACAACCGAAACGTTAAAACTTTTTTCATAATATGTCGATATAGGGAAGGTATGTGTGCGTATTGCTTGAAAAATGCAATAACTACCGAAATTTCGGCAGGTATTTCTACAGAAATGGCAACGGATCTACCATTATACCAAATACTACGATTTTTGTCAATAATTATGTTTCTACCGATTTTTTTTACCGATTTTTGGCAATAATAACGATTTTACCCGTTTTGCCGATTTAATCGTACCCGAAGCTGCTTAAGTTAAAGGAGAATTCATTCTATAGAATATTAAAAACGATTTTTAATCTGTATGCTTAAAATATAATTTAGAATGTTACCAAAAATTTCTAAATTGTTGATTTAATAAAAAAACATTTTTTGTAGAGTTTAGTTTTCCACAAAACTCGTCATGAGTCAAATCTCTAAAATTAAGATTTTAAGAGATATGCTAAATTAAAGTCATCAAAATTTAAAATTTTAGCAAAATGTGAAGATTAATGCTTTTATAATAATAATGTTTTTCCACTTTTATTTTTAGGCGCAAAAAACATGGTTATAATTATAGGGGTCCTGTAGAGAAAACTTTTGAAATAAATAGCTTTGCAAAAGACTAGAGGCTAAATGTAGCAAATTATTCCTCAAGGTTATGACGATTAACTGTCATCTTGATTATGCAGGTACACTGCATTGTGCCATACCAAACCAACCCAAACTTAACAACCCAACCCAACCGACCCCGCCCCATTGGGCCCCTCCCGCCCCATTGAGCAATAGAGGTATAATATATCTAATGGGGTGGGAGGGGCCCAATGGGGCAGGGTTGGTTGGGTTGGGTTGTTAAGTTTAGGTTGGTTTGGTATGGCACAATGCAGTGTACCTGCATAATCAAAATGACAGTTAATCGTCATAACCTTGAGGTATACTTTGCTACCATATAACATATTTGTTATACACTGAAAAAAATTTACGAAATTTTACACATCCAAACACACATTTATTTCTGTTTTTTTACTTAAGAAATGTGTTGTTCCATATAAAACATGTACACACATACTTACATAAGTAAAATAGCATCAATTTATGTATTTTTTTAAATTAATATGTAGTTTTTCATATTATTATGTAATAAATCCTTAAATTTATGTGCTTTTACAATTTTTAATGTACTTGTACTATTATTTTCCTAAATTTTACATTTACATGACCTTTGCATTTTTACACATTATATGTAGTTTTACAGTATGTTTGTACATATACATTTAAATACGTGGCATCAAAATAACCAACGATCAGATGTGTAAATTTACTAAATATTTTTTTGAGTGTATGTTTGCTACATTTAGCCTCTAGTTGCAAAAGTGGCGAATGCGCCGGGATAAATGTAACATAGGCAACCAAACAATCAGATCCTAATTGCAACGCTGCCAGATTTATTGTTGGCCTTAGGTTAACCTAGAAATAAATATATTTAACCTCCTAAATTCTATTAAAAAATGTTATAGTATGTTTATTTTTGCAAATATGTATTAATAAAATATTTTATTTAAATTAATATTTAATTGTTTTGATTAAATTTCGTAGTAAAATTGTTTTGTAAAACTATAGTGTCGTTTATAAATAAAATGTCCAAGCCTATTTTATCATTAAAGCAGGTAAAATTATGCCAAATACACACCCCAAATTACTTTTGTTTATTTTTCAGTTTATGTTAAAACAAGAGGTAAAGGCATTATATCGAAAAATATTTAAAGCTATAAGAGAAGTTCCTGATAAAACTTATCAAGAAGAATTAAAACAGTGGACAAGAAGGGATTTCAGAAGTAATGCAAATCAAACTGATGAAATTTCTATCAGAATGTCCCTTAAATATGGAGAAAGATGCCTTCGGGAATTAGAGACGAGCTTAAGTTTAGCAAAATGAAACACAGTAAACAATAAAAAGTGTTTTTAATAAATTGTACATTAAAACAAAGCGTTCCACACAGCTTGCATACAATGAGTGACTAAAATAAACGTGATGAAAGTAGTTAATGTTAAAACTATTAAATTTGTTTTCTTTTTTCCTAGCATTTTTACCAACATAATATTCCCCAGGATACTTATTATGTATTGGCCGTCCATAAACCAACATGGAATTATGTTTATAACGCCTAAACCCATTGAAACAACAATAACGTACCTTAAAAGTTTCATAGTTCTATCTGGGATCGTGGAACTAATATTAGGGTGTATGTAGGGTGAAACCTCCAAGGTTCGGTACACGTCTGTAACAGGGCCGGAGTAAATAACATTCGTATTGTCGCTTTTAACAATTTTAAATAGATTCGTATAGTTTTCTACAAGCGGTCTGAAACAAAAGAGATTGTTCGGGCATGCGTGGGGTTCGAATGAACAAAACGTCGTCGCTTTTTCCACGACAGTTCGGCCTGGCAAGCAAACGTGGCTGGGTAACTTTAAAATTCCTTCGTCCAGATATTCAAAACAGAAGTTGTTCTGTTTATCAGCGTTACAGCAATCCAAGTAGCCATTATCCGTATGTTTTAAAGGAATACTTTCATCTAAACTACGAATTAAATCTCCATTCAAACAAAACCCTGACTTTCTAGTATTAATGTGTTTAATACAGTTTACCCAACTTTCTTCGTTATATATCAAACAATCATTTATCCCCACTATTGTATCTCCCATTTTAAGCCCCCGTGCACCCAATAAAGGCGAATTTTTCGCTACATTAACTACAATAACACCTTCATTAATCGTGTATAGCGACGAAAATACATGTGGTAAAAATGAGTAAATTAAAAACGCCAGCAAACTTAATACTATATTGTGCCAAACCCCTGCACATAAAATCTTCAAAATATTTTTATTTTTCAATGAAAATAACTTCTCCGTTCCCAATAAAACAAATGCAACAGGTAAAATAAATATTGCGTTAACTCCTACACACTCCAAACTGACATTTTCCCTTACAGCTGCTAATGCATGCCCCATTTCGTGTACAATACTGCATATAACTAAAGTTAAACTATAATATCCCAACTCCGAAACTGGTAAATTAATTCCAGGTAACATAGGCTCTATAGTAATAGTACTGGCTTCTTCAACAGCAAAATAGCTTTGAAGAAATGAATACAACAGTAAATAAGTTGATACAGGTAACAACGCCAAGCTAGCATATAACCCGATAGTAAACCATACATCTAAAAATTTTGATTGGTTGTATCCCAACCGAGAAAAAAATCGATTAAATGCATTTGTAGTCCATCTAACTTGAAGTAATTTTATTTCCAAACCGGTGCCATCCAAAAATCTCAGGTAGGGGTAATGGGCGCATGTCTAAAAAATATTCTTCATAATATACAATCATTATTATTATAAAATTAAAATAAGCACCTTAAAAAATGTATCGAAAAATATTAGACACCCATATATGGCAGTTATTACTATTAGTCCAACATACACCTCCATATTAAGGCATATTTGGGAAAAATAATAAAATTAACATATGAAAATTATAGGTTAAATTTAAAATTGATAAGCTGTCAACTTGACAGTAAACAGCAACGTTGCCATTTTATTAATTATTAAGCCTGATTTATAGATTGCTTTCCTTCCTTCCTCCCGTAAAAGATGAACAATACGAATAACGTAGTGCCATTTATAGATTCCCGAACGGGAATCTATAAACAGTACAACGGTTTTTGTATTGTTTATCTTTTACGTGAGGAATGCAACGAATGGCATTGTGTTGGCTGTATTAAGGCTCTATTTAGAACTCTAGTTTTATTAAGTCATTTGTTTTGGGCCTTAAAAAATGTTTGTATATTATAGTTTGTTTCTTCAACCAATAACCAGTCAAGGTTGTAGCGTTGAGTGAAGGTTATACTGCACAGAAAAGCTCTAAGTGATAGAGATAAATGAAAAGTATTATTAACAAACCTATAAAGTTTTTTTGTTGTCAGAAAACAAGCTTTTTGTTATATTTGTTAATAATGTTTGTGCTCTATAAATCGTACTATACTATTTAGTTGACAGCCATGTTAAAATTGTCAGTATTTTAAAATCTCTTGAAAAAGTGCACGAGGAATTTTTTTAGTCCATTCAATTTAGTTAGAACTTCGTTAATAGTAACCTACAAGAGGTTCACAGTGGTTTTTGTTCTTGTTAGTAAATTTTGTAGTGCATACTAACTTAAAAATGAATACTGCTAACCAAAACTTTAAGGTGAGTTTTCTTTATTAAAATTTTATAGGTTTGTATTTGTATGTAACGTGTTTTAGCCGTCCGAAGGTAAGCGGGAAGAATTCCGCAAATATCTAGAAAAAAATGGGGTTATGGATGCCCTTACAAAAGTATTAGTAAATTTGTATGAAGAGGTTGATAAACCAGAAGATGCTTTGGGGTAAGTGATCATTAAAACGAAAAATTCCATGCTTATTGTGGAAAATTTAGGTTTATTAGAGACAAACTGGCTTTGCAAGCCGGTTTGGAGACCTACGATCAAATGACCGAGAAACAACAAGCTCAAGAGACCAAAATCCAAGAACTCGAGGAGCAAGTGGCGCAATTGGCCGGCCCGCCACCGGAAGAGGAAGTTCCCGAAGTGGTGGAAGAAGGCCAACCCCCACCACCCGAAGGGGAGGAGGTTGCTCCTGCTCCCGTTGAAGCTGCCCCGGAAGGGGAAGCCGCCGCCCCTCCCGCTCCGGAAGCGGAGGCTCCCCCGCCAACCGAAGCCCCCCCGCCGGCCGAAGCCCCCCCGCCAACTGAGGAAGCCCCTGCTGAACCGGCCGCGGCCCCTGAGGCCCCTCCAGAGGCGCCACCGGCGTAAAGCAAATCGCGACTTCGCCCCACGTTTTTGTTACTTATTATTAAAGAGTTATGTTTGTTTTTCGCCTTATATATTTTTTCGAAAGAAATTTTAGTTTTTAGAATTTTATTTTAGTTTTTCGACTTAAGTTTTTATACATGTTGACTGTTAGCTATAACGATGCTTCGAGACATTCCTACTTGTATTTCCTACTCAAATTTAATAGTACAAGACCAAGGACCCCTGTGGAAACTTTGGTAAAATACATTTTTACATGTTTTGCAGTATTGTGAATCAGAACAAAGTAAAAATTTGTGAGTATTACCATTTAATAATAATAATTTTTAAGTGTTTAACATTTGTTTTATTTTATTTCCTGCATATTTTGATTTAATACTTATTTTGTCCCAAGAGTGCTTTTTTTAATAAAGGCAGTGAAATTAATTTGGTAATAACAAAAATATTATTCTTTGAGGTAAAAAAATTGTGTCTAAATTAGGGTTTTAAGATTTCCGGAAAAATTAAGCTTTCGGACAAAAACCGGTTTTTTCCGGAGATTAACAAAAAAATTGGAAATTTTTCAGAAAAATTAACTTAAAATTTTATTCAAAGGGTAATACGAAAAAATGCAAAAGTCAATTTTTCTGAAAATGTACAAATTTTTACGGATAATATCCGTAATGAATGTGTGAATTTCCGACGCTGATAATGATTAATCATAATCAGAATATTCTACCGGGCCGCAAAAAACATTCGGTGCTGTATTAACATAACTTTTATTTGACCCTTTGATTTATAAAATTAATGTAAAATGTAATTTAACTTTATAAATTATTTACAATTTTGTAGTTGGATATTTTTAATGGCCTTTTTGCAAGAAAGACCAAAACGACAGTATATTTAATGTTTACGTTTATTTTCTTAAATCGATTTAATTTAATTCAATTCCGTTTTATTTATTTTTGTAATAAAATATTTTTTTTTAATTAAAATAATGTTAAGTTTTTTCAAACGTGTATAATTTCCAAAAAAAATTCAAGTTCCCTGCTGAACCGGCCGCGGCCCCTGAGGCCCCTCCAGAGGCGCCACCGGCGTAAACCAAATCGCGACTTCGCCCCACGTTTTTGTTACTTATTATTAAAGAGATATGTTTGTTTTTCGCCTTATATATTTTTTCGAAAGAAATTTTAGTTTTTAGAATTTTATTTTAGTTTTTCGACTTAAGTTTTTATACATGTTGACTGTTAGCTATAACGATGCTTCGAGACATTCCTACTTGTATTTCCTACTCAAATTTAATAGTACAAGGCCAAGGACCCCTGTGGAAACTTTGGTAAAATACATTTTTACATGTTTTGCAGTATTGTGAATCAGAACAAAGTAAAAATTTGTGAGTATTACCATTTAATAATAATAATTTTTAAGTGTTTAACATTTGTTTTATTTTATTTACTGCATATTTTGGTTTAATACTGATTTTGTCCCAAGAGTGCTTTTTTTTAATAAAGGCAGTGAAATTAATTTGGTAATAACAAAAATATTATTCTTTGAGGTAAAAAATTTGTGTCTAAATTAGGGTTTTAAGATTTCCGGAAAAAAATTGTAAATTTTTCAGAAAAAATAACTTTAAATTTTATTCAAAGGGTAATACGAAAAAATGCAAAAGTAAATTTTTCTGAAAATTTACAAATTTTTACGGATAATATCCGTACTGAATGTGTGAATTTCCGACGCTGATAATGATTAATCATAATCAGAATATTCTACCGGGCCGCAAAAAAACATTCGGTGCTGTATTAACATAACTTTTATTTGACCCTTTGATTTATAAAATTAATGTAAAATGTAATTTAACTTTATAAATCATTTACAATTTTGTAGTTGGATATTTTTAGTGGACTTTTTGCAAGAAAGACGATCGATTTAATTTAATTCAATTCCGTTTTATTTATTTTTGTAATAAAAGATTTTTTTTTAATAATAATAATAATAATAATAAATACTTTATTGATCCCAAGAAACATAGATTGTTTATAGAGGGACAAACTCTAAACATATAATAATTACAATAAGTATATCTATCACAGTGATAAAACATTATCTTATAAGATAATTATAGTCTTATAAGACTATATGTATACAAATATACAATATACAAACATACTTTATACATTAATTTACATATTTACTGAACTTTTTTTTTTCAAATTCAATACTCAAGAAGAAGACACGCAGGTTAGCCTCTTATCAAGGATTGAAATACTCTTTTATATGTCTTGTCGATTTTGTTTTTATATCTTCTGGTAAGCTGTTATATATATTAACACCTCTATATAATAAACATGCTTTACCATACTTTGAAAAGACGTGTGGAACTGCTAAATTATTATTATTTCTTGTGTTGTGTAGATGTATTTCATTTCTGGCTTTAAAATTAATATTCGTGTGTTTCTTCTCAAGTATAGAACCATGAACAAACCCAGATAACAATTATGACATCATTTAAGACATCAACGTGAAATCATTGCTGATTCATTCAGTGATGTCACTGTGGCACGCATATGTGTTCCCCTTTTGATAGGCAACATGATATCCTTAATGAGTCACACGATGAATTCGTTGTGACATCAACGTGAAATCATTGCTGATTCATTCAGTGATGTCACTGTGTTGCACTTTTGATGAGCAATGTGAGATCCTTAATGAGTCAAACGATGAATTCATTATGAAATCAAAGGGATGTCATTAATGATTTTACTTAAGGGACTAAAAACGTTAAAATTAATTAAATTACCTAAATATTTATTTTCTTAAATAAAATATAAAATATTTAAAACAAGTTTTTATTAAAATTTAAAAAGTATCTTGCATCTGATTATTAATTTTTAATAAATAAAAAATGTATAAAATAAAAATAAATAAATAAAATAAACTCGATATGCTAATTATTAATAATTATATAATTATTAGCATATCTAGTTTAATTTATTTATTTATTTTTATTTTATACATTTTTTATTTATTAAAAATTAATAATCAGATGCAAGATACTTTTAAAATTTTAATAAAAACTTGTTTTAAATATTTTATATTTTATTTAAGAAAATAAATATTTAGGTATTTTAATTAATTTTAACGTTTTTAGTCCCTTAAGTAAAATCATTAATGACATCCCTTTGATTTCATAATGAATTATAATCACATGCAAGTTAATTTTTGGTACAGTAAGCGCATTGCTCAATTAATTGCTATCATTTAAAATTTCTTTATTTTTATTGAGCAATAACTTTCTGTAAGTTTGTTTTGCTCCCCTTAATAATTCGAAATATTATATCATTCGAGAAAACACTTTTTGCCCCTTGGCCTTTCTGGTACAGCTTTAGATCTAAAGCAGCTTCTGTAATAAAAAATGATCTGATTATATCGCCCGGGCCTCTTAATGCTAAAGCCGGATAACTCAACTTTCGTGATTTATAAACATATTTATAAACAAAAAAGCCTTAACCAAGTATAATTCATAAATTAATTATAAAAATATATTTAAAAATACGATAACTTTTAAGCCTTGGTAAGATAAATCCATTTCCAAAACTTGGCAACACTTATGGTATATACCATGGCAACACTGTTATATAACACAGCACAGAAATATGTCAGAAATGTTTCTTAGATATAACATTGCAACATTAGAAATATTGCAGTGGTATTGCAAAATGTTGCCGAAATATCTCTGATATGTTTCAGACTTATTAAAATGTCCGCCCTTGGAAACATTTCTTTGTAATGTTTCAGAAATATTACCTGGAAATATTTCATTGAAATTGCAAAATGCTGTTGAAATATTTTTGATATTTTTCAGGCTTATTAAAATGGAAATATTTTTTATGGTGTTTACAAAATATTACCTGAAATATTGCTGGAATATTAAATAAAATCTCAAAAACATTTATATGGTTTATTTAAAAAATCTACATTGTAAAGCTCTTTTAATTTAAATTAAAAATTAAATAAAAAAATATATGTTTACATGTTGACTTCATTCTTCTTCTAAAAAGAATATTTTATTACTTATAAGTATATAGAAGTAATTTAATTTTAAACTCACCGCTTGCTCTCTGGTAATGTGTTAGCCGCCTTGTATTAGCCACTTCTCTATAATTTTATTGATTTCATCTTCATTTGATTCAGTGTAGTGAAGACAAACCACTTTTGTAAAAAGAGCAGAAAAATTTTATTTAACATAATATATTATATTTTGTCATTTAAATAATTATTATGAATATGAAGTACCTAAGCATTACTCTATAATTTTAGCATTAGCTGATAGTAAAGCAAATCAGGAAGTTTCTTTTAGAGAAAGATGGGCACTTTCCCTATACCTTCTATACGAAATTTAATAAGTAAAATTAAACACACTTCTCAAGAGAACACCCATAGAATGTGGCTCTATTTTTTTATTTGTTTGTATTCTATTGGAAACGTTATGCAGATCTCGAGCCAAAGCAATGGATCTAGAATTGCATACATAGGTAGAATGTTTCCATTGGAATAAAGACAAATTAAAAAATAGAGCCAATTTCCATGGGCCACGAGACTTTATGTTCGGATGAAATTGTTTAAGGCAGGAAAAATATCCCTGAAGGAGTTTAGGAGGTCAGGGAAATGTAATATTCATTTTAAATATCTCTTTAATTTACTTACTTAAGATTACTTTGTGAAATATGAGTTCTTTAAAACCCTTTTTGTTTTTTTTACCCATCAAATGTGGACTGTACAGCTACTTCATTTTTCACCAAATGATTTAAAATTTTTGTAGTGGCATCATTTACAGAAGTGCCTTTCCCGATTCCTTTTAGGAAAATAACCTAAAACAAATATTTACCTAAGTCAATGTTATCAAAATAATAAAAATACACTTACAACATTTTTGAAGTATACAGGGTTACTAAACTCTTTTTCAATTTTATTTAAAACTGGATGTGTAAAAATATTGATCTTATTAAAAAATTCACAAACAAGAAAAATGTAGGTAGGTATAATATGATTAGAGTTGCCTCGGCAAAGCCTCCTAACCTAAATGTTTTTGAGCGTACTGGAGTGAAGTCAAAACCATAGAAAAACATTGTTAATATGTAGGTACTTACCAGAGTGGGTACTTCTTTTTTTATACGTTTTTCCTTTAGTTTACACCATACACAATATTCTTTATTATTATTGTTATTTAGAGAACAAAAAAACCGTTACACACTAGAAAGCGTCACTTTAAGCAGTGTTGCCGGATGAATTTCATAAAAGTTCCCGACCAAAAATAACAATTTTACTTGCCAGGGTAAGAAAAATGTTTTGTTTATAAATT